TTTGACAATTCTATTTAGCAATTGAATGCTTTTATTATTATTATTATTATTATTAATATAATGCTCCTACTTGGATGAGAACTCAACCAGAAATTATCATGAAAGCTTCTTGTTAATGTTTGAAAATTAGCATCTAAATTTGGTTTTATATATACGTGCAGTGGACTATAGTAGTGTGTGTGTGTGTGTGAACTCAACGAGAAATTATATATCAAGAAAGCTTCTTGTTAATGCTTGAAAATTAACATCTAAATTTGGTATTATAAATACGTGCAGTGGACTATACATATATATATATATATATATATATATATATATATATATATATATATATATATATATATGTGTGTGTGTGTGTGTGTGTGTGTGTGTGTGTGTGTGTGTGTGTGTGTGTGTGTGTGTGTGTGTGTGTGTCACTATTGGAAATTATGGAATTTCCGACCACCTGAAAGTGATCTTAAATCAAGTTGAAAGCCTTGTTCCGATCACTTTTGGTATCCGAAAAAACCTTTGTTGCTATTTTCGACCACTTTTTGGTATCAACTTGATTTAAGATCACTTTCAAGTGGTCGGAAATTCCATAATTTCCAGTAGTGTGTGTGTGTGTGTGTGTGTGTGTGTGTGTGTGAATTCATCATGAAATTATTATCTTAACTTTTTCAATGTTACAAGTTAAACTTTGCAATCTCTTTTCGACACGCAAAAGGATGTATTAGTTTACTCCACCCGTGGGATGTTATTTGGGGATAATGAAATAATGAGTTAGGATTGTGTGTATAAGCATACCTCATCTTAGCTAAATCACACTTGAAAATTTTTGTTTATGAGACACAAGAATCATGCTTTACTTATTCGATCATCTCTTTAGGTAGTTCTATTTTTGAAAATTTTTGACAATCTTTATGGGTGATAATAGGACTGCAACCACATACACATACTACTGCTATACCAAAAGCTATACATTGTGTCTATTAATTGCACTCGTGACTTTTAGTATGAGATTCATGCCTCACTCACTCGACCACCTATTTCAAGATCATTCTCTACCATTATTGTTCATGTTCAGTTGAGTTACCATGATTTACATCCTCCCAAATGCTGTGTCGGATCGGAGTGTGGGGGCCCTTAGGGTTGGAGTCCAGCCTTTTGAAAGAAGACTATTCTCTACCATTATTGTCGTAATAGTATATATGTTCACATCTACACTAGCAATAAAATCATATAGAATTTAAACATGGAAAAATTGAGATAAAACACACACAATTACGTTGAAACTACAATAAAAATAATTTTTTTTTTTTAAATCACCGCAAACGTACCCTCTAAATCTATAAAATGATAATTTCTTTTCAATTCAATACCATATATAACTACCGAGTATTTCATAGTATATTTAGGAAAGTGATAATTTCGATTTGTTAGCATCGTATTTTCTTAGTAGAACGCAAAAAATTAATATTTATTTCTTGGTCCGCATCTACGTATTAATTAATGCTCCTATTCGGCTTAACGTTGATGCCTCGATAGAAATTGAACTTGTCAAGAAATCACCACGGAAGTTTCTTGTTAATGCTGGAAAATTAACCTCCAAATTCCGTCAATTTTGTATGCGTAAGCAATTAAGGAGAATTCATCACAAAATAATTATCATGATTAACCTCCCATGAGAACAACCTATTAACCTTCTTGATTTGAACCAGTAAATTATAGGTAACCTAGGAAGACAAGATTTACCTAGTACACTTCCTTGGATGACGACCACAAACATAATCATGATTGATCTTAGTGCTAGCTAGAACCCTTTTCTCCCCCACAAAAGCCGGATGTGATCCATTTTTTTTTGTAAGTACATAATACACGTAATCACTTTAATACGGGATAAGAAATGTACTGTTAAACTGACTAGCCTCCAGCCATGCATCGCTCCCGATTGTTGATGCTTACATTTTTTTTTTCTACATGTTTGGGGATAATAAACTAAAGAGTTAGAATCATATTGTATGTGTATATACACCGGGTCTTAGCTTACATATTGATAATTTTATTTTTGAAAATAATTATGAGAAATTCTTGAGACGAATATATTTTATCTTAGTAAATTATAAGAGAATAAAAAATAGATAAATATTTATGAAAAGCACATACAATTACATAGAAACTACAATGTAACGTAACTAATTTATATATATAATATTTTTTTTTTAAATCACACCATCCAAACTTTTTCTAGCTCTATAAATGGCCTGGCGTGTTGTATTCGATCTTCATCTGAAAGTATAGCAACAAACATACATACATAGATACATACATACATAATTAGTTTAGAGTGGCCAAAAAAAAAAAAAAAAAAAAAAAAAAAAGAAGTGTGAAGATAGATCGAGATGGGTGACAATTACGAAAGTAGCCACCGCGGGGGAGGCAATGACGAGAATAGGGGAAAAACAAAAGGTAATAAGGGAGAGAGTTTGATCCGACCTAAGAAAAAATCGGTGAAGGAGTTGATGGCTAAAAAGGTTATTGAAACTGTTTTCAACAATGAGAAGAAAAAGATCAAGCACCATGATGATGATGAAGAAGAAAATCACTCTACTTCCACTTGATATATATGATTGATTATGAACCATTTCTCGTTGCTTTCGTTTAAGTTATTATATATATTGTGTGCATGATATGTGTTTTTCATTAAGTTTTTGGTATGTTTGATTGTTAATTTATATCTTGTCTACCTGGATAATATATATGATGCATTATATAGTTGATGTTGCGTTGTGATGGCCTCATAATAAATATTAATTATTAGCATTATATTATTGTGAAAGAAAATTTAACTTGGAATATAATGGTGATGGATTGATGTAGATATATAGAATGAACCTGCACCCACACAGACAGACATTAGACATACACACTCGCAACTTTTCTTAGTCAATACACGCAAGAATTCTTCAAAAAGGCAAGCACCAAAATTACTTATGAATTATTTATAATGTGCATGTGAGTCAAGCAAATTCTTTAAATTAAACTATTGTTAATGTTGAATAAACAAATTTCATATAACCCTTTATAGTTAGTAGTACCGAAGAGAGCATCACGTATGTCTATTTCCTTAGCGTCTATTTTCTTATATTTGTGTACGTGGGTATTATTAATGTCACATTTCAGTGGTAGGATATTGGAATCAATTCAAGAAAAATTCACTTAATTCAAAGAGTATTGAAGAAGAATTTATATATATATATATATATATATATATATATATATATATATATATATAGAGTACAAGTTTCATCATGAATTCAGCAAGAAAGGTGGTGTCATCATATATATATATATATATGCTCCAAAACTAATTTACAACAGTTGGTAAGGTACACTTGCTATAAGTACATGCTGTGGACAGAAAGAATCTACAAATTAAATATATATATAAATATAATGCCTTCCAAATCATCATCATCATATCGTAGCCAAGCTAAATAAGCCTTCCAGCAATTGGATTGCCAAATGTACGCGCTGAAATGAACAAGAATGGATTTTTCGCCTTGATTATATATTGGTGTAGATAAGACTTAAGAGGCACTGCACTCTGGTATCTGGCCTCCATTATATATATCATCAAATCAAACATACACCCAATGAAGAATTGAATCAGCAGCTTAGCTTATTAGCTTTTCGCGTGCGTTCTCATCTGATCTGAGCTGGCATGGGTTACACAGATTAGCTAGACTTTTGGATCATCAGAAGAAGAAGGCCGCAGCTTTTGATCCATAATTTTAACGGACCGGAACGATGAACTTACAGAATTGGTGCCCCTAGATGGAGCTGAAGAAGGGGAAGGGAGTTTCTTGGGCAGCATTTGATCCCAGCTGGAATCTTTGGGCAATCTTGAACCTTCTGAGATCGCAATGTAAGAAAGGAGAAACAGGAACAGGAATAGGAAGAGGTTGCAATATTGGTGCCTCCGAAAACCCAGCATGATCATGAAGTATCTTAATTAGTTGCAGAGACACAGACACACACACACACACAGAGAGAGAGAGGAGGTTATAAATACTGGTTTTTAAGGTTAAGTTGGAAGAAGAGAATTGATGGAATATAGTTTGTGGGAGGAGACAGGGTTGAGGAAAGTGAGAAGGTGGCCAACTTGTCTGTTAGAGTAAAGATGAGTCAATGGCAGACAGTGGTGTATTAACAATTCAAACACATATATATATATTAAAAAGTGTAATAGGTAGTTAGGTAGTTTGTAGAATGTTGGTCGTCCAAAGGTCCCATAGATTAGGAGACAAGCAAGGGACAAATCTCTGTTGTCAGGCTCGATAAAGTAAAACAATCAACATATCCACTCACTATATGCAACTTAAATATATACAAAGTTAAGTATTTAAAAAAAAAATGAGATTCAAACTCGTAGTCACCACTTGAAAGTACATATGAGCCGGGTAAACTTATTCTAGCCGGTAAAGGATAGGTGACTCATATCTCACCTGCTAAAAAAAATGAGATTCAAACTCGTAACGTGTGAATATAAATTTGTATTCTTAGTTATCTTGGTTGAGATTATCTCGCATTCCTAATAGTCGGTGGTGAGGGATATATAGAGGGAGACCAGCTTTATTAGTAAAGGGTGAAACTTTTATTGAAAAATAAATAAAAAAGAAGCATCAGCATCTTCACATGCATGTTTGCAGACTTTTTGGGTAACAAAGAGAATAGTTAATTAGGCAATTAAGGGTAGGCGGATTATGAGTATGAGTGGCGTACGTGCGTTTCAATCATATTTCAAGAAAAAGAGAACAGCGCAGCTAAAGAATTTTATTATTATTAAACTCCAAGCTAATCTTCTTAATTAGTTGTGGTTTATTATATTGGAACATTAAACTGTTAAAGCACAGGCTTTTAAGAGTTTGTTGAACCAGGAAAACGTCCCACATCGAACAAATTTAGTCTAATTACAAAACCATCTGTCTTTGTTTACAATAGATATATAATACCTGGGCTGATTAATCGGCATCATCATTAACCCCTTTTAGGTTAACTTATTGAAGATATACATTAATTTATATTGATGACAGCAATACTACAGTTCAACATCATCATCATCATAATAATGAAGGGTTTATACATATTTAAGCATGCATTTATAAACTTATATATATATATATATACGAAATTTAGATAAAATAGGCGGCCTAGACGGGAACATCTGCAGGGTAATCTTTTGGGTGTCGCATAACAATGTCTCTTAACAACCTTTCCTGTTCTTTAAGGTTTGAAGGCACTTTGTCATACACATCAGTGAACAACTCTGCAAGTGAAGGTTTCTCCATCTTCTCTGCTTCTTGAATTGCCTGTAACACCTGCAAAATCATAACACAATATATAATAATCATCATTCGTGTCCAATATAATGTTGTGTTTTGTTGAATGTTCTTTAATTTGTACCTGTTTTCTTATATTTCCACGAAGTTGATGTTCGTGGTCGTCGCTCCACCATCCATGCCTCTGTATCCATTTTCTGAACCTGGCCACGGGGCTTCTCGCCGTCTTCCAGTGCTCTATTTCTTCTGTGGGGCGGTACTTGGTGGAATCATCGGATGTAGAGTGGTGAGACACGCGATAAGTCATGGCCTGTAAAACGAATTGGTGTCAAAGAAAGACTTTTAGTTAAAACGAAGCACATACTGTCGTGAATTATTACCTCGACAAGTATTGGTTTTTGTTGCTTGATTGCCATTTCGCGAGCCACACGGATGGCGTTGAAAACTGCGAGAGCGTCATTGCCGTCTACTCGGATGCTGGTGATTCCATAACCTTGCCCTTTAGTCACAATTCCATCACCTAAAGAAACCACACACATGCAGGGAATTGGAATGAGAAAGACAGAGAAAAGCTTTAGTTTAGTTATCTGATATCTGTGTGCTTACTTAGCTACAACAATCAATCTTACTTCGGAATTGTTCTGAAACAGGGGTGCTAATGGCCCATCCATTGTTGCGGCAAATGAACACCACTGGAGCTTCCATTACAGCTGCAAAATTTAACCCCGCATGGAAATCTCCCTGCACAAACACTAGTATATATATAACCAAAACATAATGAGATCTGCATCGAAATGGCGACACAAAAAGGTTATCACCTCACTGGTGGTACCATCACCAAAGTAGGTGACAACACAAGCATCTTTCTGATCCATTTTAAGTGAATAAGCCACCCCAGCAGCCTGAGGAATCTGGGTTCTGTGGAATTGAAGCAAATCAGGCAAAGGAGGATTTACAGGATTCATAATTCCAGAAATTTGATGAAGAAAGATAGTCCATCTTACGCCAGAGGTGAAGAGATGGTCAAGATATTGTGCTTGTTAGAGCCATAATGGATAGGCATTTGCCTGCCCTTCCCATAATCACCCTTATTCCCAAAGCACTGGTTAGCCATTTCTTGCAGGCTGAAGTCTCTCCATAACAGAACTCCTAGTTCCCGGTACTGTATCATCACAAAATTTTATTTTAAAAAAAAATAAAATTTTGAGATATATATTCTGCCATGACCATTGACCAAGAAGCTTAATAAAGCTGATAGATAGATACCTGAAGCATTAAAACATCATCCGGCGAGAGGGCAGCCGCAGATCCTATGCTGATAGCTTCTTCTCCAAAAGAGGTTAAATAAAAGGACAATCTCCCCTGCCTTTGAGCTTCATAAAATATGGTGTCCACAGTTTGAACAGTCACCATCGCACTATACATCTTCATTGCCATTTCTTGTCTCACCTACATCACAGTAAAGTTAAAACCCAAATTTCTAACAATTAAGTTTCCAAATTGATAAGAATATGTATAAATTTTAAGTGTTAGCCAACCTGCTCGAATACAGTGCTGCCAGGCAAGACATAGCCATCATCATCAAGTACACGATAACATGGAATCCTCCGATCAGTAGCCTCCGAGATAAACTTCATCTGCGCCGTAAAGGGCACCCTTCCACCAGGAAAATCCAATGTCTGCTAATCAAAACTAAAAACCTTAGCTTTTCCCAGTTAAGCTAATTTTTTTTGTTTTCTGTCACTAAAATTAAAGCAGCAATTATAATGCACCATGGCACGTGGCTCGCGTTACACAAATTAAACCATGACACATGCCAAATGTCCGCCCGACACAATATTGACATACACCTTACGTTAGCCGATCGACTCACCGGAAAAGTGACGTCATCGTTGTCGTTAAATACAGGAGACCGCTCTGCCACTGCACCGGTGGACTTAAAGCGGTGAAGGGAGAAAAGGGTAGATGCTGCAGGTGATGCATGCAAGCCTATAGATAGCCGCCTTTTGTGATTTTGGATGAGAGCTTTAAACACGAAAGCCATATATATATGTATCTGAATCAAAAATTCTTAATTGTGCAGTTTTCTGTGTTCTGCAATATGGGAAGAAGGAGAATATGATGATGATGATGGACATGAAGTTTATGCCTTTATGGGCAATGAAGGTGTACTGTGGCCGCGTAGGACAATCCTTATCTTATAGAAGATGGAGTTAAAGTCGCATACAGCAATAATGAAAATATAACCTAACATATTGGATTAGTCATAACTCATAACCGGGCTGTGTCAAATTAAAGAGTTACTTTAGGTTGCTCATATATTCTCCACGTGATGAGAGACTAAAAGGAAGGTATTAATTGAGTGGAGAATTTCAAAGGAAAAAAAATTAATTATAACGTCTGAATTAGTTACTCCTAAGTTTTTTAAACTCTCATATTATTTTAGAATATTTTTCGTATATATTACATAATGAAAATTATATTTCTTTCAATATTTTTCTTCTTTTTTTGTCAATATTGTTATCTTGATCTTGATATAATAATACGACATCATCGTATATTCAAAATTTATGAACGTGATACGTGTCAAATTTGAATAGTGGTACGAGAAGATGATATGGAACAGGAAGATGAGAATGAGGGGTCGTGCTTATCGTTTTCAATATAATCAAAGTGTGACAACGCATTCCACAGGCCAGGCCAAAATAATAGGAATGGGCAGTGGACCGCTGGAAATCAATTAGAGCTGGATGGGCATGATGGATTAGTGCATGTACGGACTTTCTGGAACATTTAATGATGGATGAAGACAGTAAAATTTTAATATAGTTAGCATATATAAACGTAAAAATGATTTTTTTTTTTTTTTGGAAATAAAAAAAAATTAGGTAGAGTGAAGGGTGTAGGATTTAGTGTGGGTCGTATCGTGTTTTGTGTGTGTTCGTGTAATCCGTAGATGGTTGTGGTATCGTGCCGCTTAGCGTGGCTGCGTGCACCACCTGTCCACCTAAACTCTTCCATCAGTTTTGTGTGGAGAAAAAATGAAATCTAAAACTCAAAACTCTATTCTCTTTTTTTTTTTTTTGAATAAGGTTTAAATTGCCCACATGTAACTTAAAAATGCAATTAGGTTACTGAACAAAAAAAAAAGTGCAATTAGATCATTGAACACTCAAAAAATGTGCAATTAGGCCACTGAACTCTCCAAACGTATGTAATTTTACCGGATAGTAGGTTACTATCAATTTTAGCAGGTTACCTGCTTACGTGGCAGCTTAGTTGACATTTTTAATAATTAATTTTAAGAATAAATTTTATAAAAAATTGGAAAAAATTAAATAAAAAATAAAATAAAGTCGTTTTTATTTTTAAAAAAAAAATTTAATAAAAAGTTATTATTAAAATTTATTAAAAATTAATTAAAATTTATTTAAAATGCCAACTCAGCTGCCACGTAAGCAGATAACCTGCTAAAATTGAGAGTAACCTGCTATCAGATGAAATTGCACATTTTTAGAGTGTTCAGTGGCTTAATTGCATTTTTTTTTCGTTCAGTGGCCTAATTACATTTTCAGATTACGTTCAGTGGCCAATTTGAACCTTATTCATTTTTTTTTTTTTTGAAAAGATTGAAGTTAAAATTTTCTTTTTATTTTGTCTCTCATTAATTAGATAAAAATTAGGAAAAAAAGAACTTTTTAACTATTATAAATATAATAAAAATTTTAAACAAAAAAATTCTAAACATAAAAGTATCCACAATACTTTTTTTTTTAAAATTACTTTTCTAAGTGATGTGTGAAACGCATAATTACTAATCCAGTAATAAATAATATATAAAGAATAAATTTCACTCTAAAATAACGCATTTAGTTTTATTTTATTTTATTTTATTTCACTATTATTACAAGCACTTAACAATCGGAACACACTTACCCCACTGTTACCACCAACACAAGTCTAACTATCAAAGACTTTGTGGTCAAGCAAAATAACTATGGCCCTCAAATAAGAAGTCTCAGATTTGAATCATAGTATAAATACTACATTCTAATATTGTAATAGAGTTAATAACATTTAAAAAAAAAAAATTAATTATCAAAATGGTCCCTTGACTATTTTTTTTAACCAATTAAGTTCTTCAACTTTAAAAATCTTAACCAATTTGGTCCTCTGTTTGTTTGACCGTTAGTCAACAATTAACTTAAGACCAAATTGGTAATTTAGCTATAGTCAAGGGACCACTTTGGTAATTAACTTTAGGGGTGGGCAATTCGGTTTAGTTTTCTCGACCCGAACCGTACCAAACCGAACTAGTTTGGTTCGGTAATATACCGAACAACCGAACAGTATTAGATTCTTGTATACCCAACGGTTCGATAAAAAATCGATCCGAATTGTTTGGTAAAAAATTGAACTGAACCGAATACCGTTTGATTTAAAAATATATATATTATAATAATACTAATAATAAATAATAAATAAATAAATAAAAAGTAAAACCAAGTCCCTTGCTGCTTGCTCTACCGTTCAGCTCATATTCTCACGGGTATCTCTCGTAAATGTTTTATTTGATTTCTTTATGGTTTGTTATCAAATGTTCTATATTATGTGTTATAGTGTTTACATAGTCCATATCCAAAGTCTAATATATAACAAAATAGCAATCCAAAGTCCAAACGGTATTCGGTTCGGTTCGATTTTTACCGAACAATTAAGTTTGGTTCGATTTTTTACTGAACCGTTCAGTATACAAGAATCTATTACCGTTCGGTTGTTCGGTATATTGCCGAATCTAACTAGTTTGGTACGGTTCGGTTCAAGAAAACTGAACCGAATTGCCCACCCTTAAAGTTAATTACCAAAATGGTCCCTTGACTATAGCGAATTACCAATTTGGTCTCAAGTTAACGGTTGACTAACGGTCAAACAAACGGAGGACTAAATTGGTTAAGATTTTTAAATTTGAGGGATTTAATTGGTCAAAAAAATAGTCAATGACCAAATTAGTAATTTCGCTATAGTCAATGGACCATTTCGATAATTAACTCAAAAAAAAAAAAAAAAAAAAAAAAAAAAAAGAATCTAGTTATACCTTACATTTTGACATATATTATTATATGAATCTAGTTATAGTTAAAAATCTTTAACTACTTGATGAACTAATATAAATATAATCTTTTTAAATATGAATGAAATCGATGAATTCATGATAACTAATAAATAAAATAAATTTTATTGTTTCATCAAATGGTGAAATTTGTTGTTTCTAATAGTAGTTATCCTTATTTGTTATTATATATACTTATAACATGTCTCAACCTTTCACTGAGTTTCGCATACATATTACTATCCTCACTTCTACTTTTATATTTAACATTTTTATCATAGACTTGACAATTCGTGTAACACAAATTTGTTAATGCGTTGACACGATTATGATATGAATATAGACATATAGTGAAGTTAAACATAAACACAAATACGATTTTTAAAAGAGTTAAATCGATAAACACGATAGACAAGTTTGATTAATAGATTTCTGATCTATACAAAACAATATGACAAGATAACTCATTAAACAAACATTAGACATATTAATATAATTTTTAAAAATAAAACTTTAATTTTTTTAATTAAATCAACAAAATAGTAAAGATATTTAATTCATAACATACCATAATATTTATAAAATGATAAAATAATATATTAAATCTAAACACTAACTTGTTATTCTTGTGCCTAATTTTGTATCATGTTAAGATATTGTCTCACAAATTTTCAGGCCTCCTCTAACATCACCCATCATATTGACATTCATCACTTACCACACTTTACGCTCATCTATCTATCTATCTACTCACATTTATCACAATTAAAAGTAATTTTATGATAATTTAAAACATTATAATATTGTGAAATAAAAATAAAAACACAGTTTCTACTATTAAGCAAGTGTTTATGATTTCAATTTTCAAATGGAAAGCCATTATTGCGGCGACCAACAAAATTACTCTAAGAATTAACTTTTTTTCTTTTGAAAGTTACTGACTCTATTACATTGTAGTATCTGTTCATATACTTTCCCAACCTACTGAAACACAAAGAACCAATAACGTCTCAACTGAGGCTTAAACTCATAATCTTCCAAATGAAAGTCCAACCCGAGTACCATTGGACCACATAGTCCTGGTACTCTAAGAATTAACTTAATAACAATAAGTTCTAATTTTTAAGTTTCATCTTTAGATTGACAAAACATGACCGATTATCATAACTATTAAAATTATATAGTTACTCTACCGTCATGTCGTATTTCAATCATCAATTGTGTATTAATATTGCATAGTGGCCTAATTTTGCAACTGGTTCAATAGACCGTATTCAGGAGAATAGATCAATGTTTGAAACTCGACAACAGCTTTCAGACTACAGTGTAAGAATTATGTCTAAAATGGACAGATCCATTGTGCGCATAAACATTGGGTTATGTCTGCTGAACTGTAATTTACCTCATCTCACATGCTTTATCAGAATGGGGCGAGGGAGACTCTTAGGATTGGAATTCAACTTTTTGAGAGATGATGAATAGTAGTAAGCAGAGCAAAAGGTATGGAGAAGAGAGTATGAAATACATACCCGATTGGGGTCATAATGATCATCGTAATCGTCCTCGGAAGAGTAACAGGGTGCCTCCGCTAGCTGCGCAGCTTTCATGGACTCGAAACGCCGCGGCGAGAAAATGGCGGCCGACTTCCCGGATAATTCAGGCTTCTGCTCCCGCATTCCGGCGCCGGCGCCGGCGGTGGGCAATGAGGCGGTAGAATGGTAAGCAGAAGCGTTGAGAAGGCGGCCCAAAACGGCGCCGATCTTGGTTGTGCTTGCTAGAGATGTAGCAATGCACCTTGTTGATCTCGAAACCCAAACTGCACCCATTTCAAATAATAATAATTATAATATTGAATCAGCAGCTTAGGATTATGAGATACTGAATTGTGTAATATTATTGAGATCTTATAGATATGTGGTGCAGTGCTTAAATGAGACGTACAGGACCCATCAAATTAAAAAAAACTACTACATTAATTGCATTACCATGGCATGTAGCGTTTTTAAATATTTTTCGTCAACGTAAACAACGTTTCCCCAGGGGTGAACATGTAACAACTCAGAAGCCAACTCTTGTTATTATTATTATAAAATTATAAAATAATAATAATACGACTTAATTCCCAAAATATCATCCGACTATGATATTTTTTTAAATTGGTCACTTGACTTTTAATTTTTTCAAAGTGGTCCTTTAACTTTAGAATTTTAAGTCAAAATGGTCCTCCGTTAGGACCGTTAGCTTTGGCGTTAAATTGGTGTTAAAATGCAGAGTAAAACTAGAATTTTGCATTCCAATTTAAAGCAATCTATGATTCCTTTTAGCAAACTGAAAATTTAGGTTTTGCACTCCTAAGAAGCCAACTCTTGTTTTTTTTTTTTTTATTGTGTTCTATTCATTTAGTCACCTATTTCAAACATAATAACATATTTTTAGTTATATCAATTAAGTTAAAAAAAAAAACAAAAAAACAAAAAAAAACACACACACACAATAAAGAATATCTCGTTTTTTGTTAACAATTTTTTTTTTCACACACAACATCCAATAGTTTCAAATGAAAATAGTTTATTGACTTTCTTGATTTGAGCTCGTCAACTATAATAAACTTAAGTTGGTTTACATCTTTATGATTCTTTATCAGTTAGGAACACAATACAAATTTCACCAAAAGAACACATTCATATAATGACTACGAACTTTTCAATAAATTAAATCAAAAAAATTGCCCGCATGGGTAGCTCAACTGGTCATAGAGGTGAAACTTTGGAAGAATGACCAGGGATCAAGTCTTATTAGTGGCAGTGAGGGGGGCTTCTTGTGCGCAGTGAGCAGATTTACATTCTTCTAAATGCTCTGTCGGACCGGGGTGCGGTGGGGCCCTTAGGGTTGGGTTAATTCAGTCTTTTGGAATAATTAAATCAAAGAAATTATTCCCACTCACAAAATAAGAAATTAAATATATATATTTTCTTAAAGGCATAGTCATCGTACAACATCATTTCCACGCGTTAGATAAAAATATAATGCAAAATCTTTTCCACGCTTTAGCATGCCAAATCACATTTAAAAAAATAAAACAAATAAAACAAATAAAAATATTATGTGCGGATTGTTTGGAGATTAAGTTCCTGTTTGGTTGATATCTTGTGTACTTCATTATCGAATTTCATATTTATTACTATTAGATTCAAATTTTTTAATAATCATAAAATATATTACATTTTTTTGCTATTTGTGAGCAATGGAATCAAATGATTAAAAAAATAAATAAATAAAAGAATAAAGAAGGTTATCATCGAGACATTTAATATAAAACTTTAATATATAGACACATATGTATGTGTCAATGTATGTATTGTATATTATTAATTTTATTTATTTATTCATTTTGATTAATTCTCATTTACTACTCCATATTAAATAAAGAGATTTTTTTTACTCACAATAAATTACAATTACTAAATATTTGATTTTAATTGCGATTTTAATTCTAATATTTGACTTCTAAGTCTTAAATTATTAAAGTGTGATTTGCATGCAAAATTAAGTATTTATCTTCGGGAGATGCAATACAATACTGGCCATGTGGTATCATGTTAATCGTAGAACAGTAGAAGTGTAGAATCTTCCTGTAAATGATATTATTGTTCTTAGAGATAAGGGTCAAATAAACACTTGAATTATTTGTGAAAGAACAATTAAACATTTAAAAGAAGAAAAAAAAAGTTCTAGTAAGACACTTGAACATAGAAAAAGTGTAATCAACCGCATTTGGCTTGTTATTTCAGGTAACTTCTAAGTTAAAAGTGATTAAAATACTACATTAATATATTTTAATGACTTGGGTGCCTAATTCACGTAGTAATAGTAATAATAATAACAACAACAATAATAATTTATTGAAAATTAAATATTTCAATTAAAAAAAAAAAAACTCGTTGTCAAGCTTTAAATTTTACTATTATTGACAATAATAATTTATTTATTAAAAATTAAATATTTTAAAAAAGCTTGCGGTCAAGATTTTTTTTTTTAAATAATAATAATAATAATAATATTATTATTATTATTATTAAATATTTTTAGAATAATTTGGCGGTCAAGATTTTTAAAGAGAAAACAAATTAATATTTAATATTAATAAATTATTTATTATTATTGTTTTGTAAATTGAGCATCTAGAACATCAAAATATATTGATATGGCATTCCAATCACATTTAACTTAGAGGTTACTTGCAATAACAGGTCAAATGATGTTAATTGTACTTAAAAAAAATATTTAAGTGCATAATTGAAATTTTTTCTGCTAGTTCAAATTGAAGGCTTAATTGCACTTTAATGAATAATTCAAGAACTTATTTGACTCTATACTTTTTGTGTTGATCTAAGCAGTCTATAACTAGGGTACTTGTGCAGGCGGAGTAAAAGAGTGATGAGTGACTTAAAAAAAATATAGTTGTAAACTTTTCTCAACACTTTAAGTGTGGCAATATAAAATGGGGATTTGTTACGTGATAAGTGCAGCGCAGCTATACTGTACTCATTTTACTTTTAATTGGAGAGTAAAAAAATAATAAAACAAAATTCTTCAAAATGGACCAAATTATTTTACTTCTTCAAGTGTTTTCATTTTATTTTAAAATCATGTTAGGTACGCAGTTCCTCTATGGAATTCAACTGAATTGGTTAAGTCATATGTCTTTTTGTTGCCACTCTAAAAATTACTATCTAATACGGAGTAATATTTATTAGATAGTAAATTTTTTGAATTACGAAAAAATTCACAACCATTATTTAAAAATACATTTTGAATTAAACTCGTCTTGTGATCATAGTCGATAAAGAATAGCATTAAGGTGTGTGTCATAAATTCGAAGGGCAAAAATTTTTAATACTAAAGTATCTTCTAAGTCTTTTTTTCCCCGAAAAAAAATTTTCAAAAATAATTTTTTAAAAAAGTGATGTAGATATGAAAACTGGGAAGGTACATATGTATTTTTTTTTTTTTGGTGTAATAATAATAAAATCATAAATAACAACAATAATAAAAGAAATAAATTTGTTTCCCCATGATATAGGCAATGTATACAACGTGATGAGTGCCTCCGATCCCCCTCTGAACCGTATACCAAACATAGATTTGCCTAAACGAAAAGGATTGTCATTTAACAATTTCATACAAATGTTACTGCTTCTTTCTTTAGCTATCACTGTGATAACTATACCATCACGTATAATCAATAATATAAACTTTTTTTTTTGCATCAATTACAATATCATAAATTATTATTATTATTATTATTATTATTATTATTATTATATTATTATTATTATTATTATTATTATTATTATTATTATTATTATTACTAATATTTGTCCCGTGCGATGCACGAAAAATATGTTATAAAAATATGCCCTTAATGAGGTTTATTCATATATAAAATTTTTGTTATTTAATAATTATTATGTGTGAATTCTTATGATAAAATTATGAACATAAATATATTTACAATTAAAATAATATTTAAGGTGGGTGATTACTACAAATCTTAAACTATATTAAAAATTTAGTACATATTATTTAATATTACAAATTTTTAAGAACTTAGTAAACTACAATAGTAATTGAATTACAATTTTAGAGTCACCACGGATCAAAATTTTTAGACCTTTGAGATTTCTCTAGATGTAGCAACATACAATTGACCTTTAAAGACCAAAATCACAATCTTAGTTCGAACATTGATTTTTTCTTCCAAATATTATCGAATTAAGTGTGTAATCAATAAAATATGAGAACTAATAATTCGAAAATATATAATCTTAATGTTACTAAGCCTACTTCACATCAATTAAGTTGGATAGTATCCGATGAATCCATAAATAACGCATCTTTGTCTCCGTAGTCCTCAATATACAATCTTAAATATTAGGCCACCTAGCTATGCTATATATATATTACCTTCAAAAAAAAAAACTATGCTATATATTAATTTCAAACTTATGGACTTTGGGGTTGCATGCATGCTTCTTAAAGTCATATGGTCTTGTAAAAATTAAATGTTTTTAATACCAACATTTAACCATTAATATCAACATTTAATTTTCACAAGACCATATGGCTTTATTATTATTATTATTATTATTATTATTATTATTATTATTATTATTATTATTATTATTATTATTATTATTATTATTATTATTATTATTATTATTATTATTATACCAGCTACTTATAATTTAAAATGAACGGTTATTTTTTTTTTAAATAGTTAAAAGTAAAATTGTAATGTTATCCTTAAAAATATAATTGTTCATTTTTTTTTTTAAATCACTCAAAGTGAACAAGCTGGAGAAAAACAAAAACAAAAAAAACAAAAACATCAACTACCACTCAAAGGAACATGAAGTGAGCCAGAAAAACATATAATCTTGTTTGGTAACAGCTTATTGCTCCAAAATGCTAAAATTAAAAAAACTGTTTAAAATAATTTTTTTCGATCAGCTTTTTGAAAAAGTAATTTGCATGTAATTAGCTATCAGCTAATAATTAATTTACCAAATATTTTTTTACAATTGACTAACGTTATCAACTAGTCAAATTCATTAATCCAATCAGCCAGCTCCATAATTACCTTTTCAGTTGCATAAATCAAAGCTATGATAAAATTTCTCTTAGTATACATAAATTGCAATCAATCAATTAATTAAAAAATAAAAATAAAAACATCTCCACGAGGAAGGAACACGTGGATCAAGTGGGACCGTCCAAAATCCAAAGAATGGACACATCAGTAGTACATATACAATTGAGCAATCTATAGTACCAAATCATGTGAGCAAGGTCTATTCCCCACCCACCACCATATTAACTCATTTACCAAAAATTTCCAAAAGTATAGCACGGAAAGCAACATAGGCAGAAAGTACATCTTACTTCAATAACTTAATATGCATGCCTGCCAAGTGCCAAACTATCCAACTCTAAGGTGTCACAACATTTCTACCACATCAATCTCATGGTTAACCCTATTTTTCATGTTCAAACAAAACATATTCATGGGTGATCTGAGAAGAAATCCAGTTGATAATCCATGCAATAATAGGTGTGGGCATGCTAAGAGAGTATGATTATATGCAAAAGCATTCTTGCTCCCAAGTGATCATATATATATAAAGCCCTTGCCAGATATTATCAATTTTTGTACCAATCTTCCTGCTGTGATAAGAACAAAATCAATCATAAGTCAAGAATTCGGGATTTTCTTGGCCCGCTCCAAATTGCACATATCATTGCACCTTCAAATGCAAGAATCCAAGCCTTCTTTTACCTCATGCTCACTATTGATTGAGCATATCTCACTACCAGAAGCTTTACCAGCAACTTACTTTGCAATTTCAGAACAAATTATGCTAAAATTTTGGTTGCTTTTTTTTGGGTAAGAGTTGCTTAAGTTGATTAATAGCCCAACTTCCCAACTTGAGTTTCCTTTGCTCTCTACAGAAGTGAACAACTCTCTCTAACATATGTACGGTGGGAGAAAAGGGCAACTTGTTAATGAAATCCTCAAGCTCATCAAAGTATCCATGCCGACCAAACAGTTCAATCATGGATTCATAATGCTCCAACCTAGGGGTAATCCAATATTTGTCACTCATTAAATCAAAATGATGTCTACCTAAATATACATGACCTTCACGAATGCACACAAGAAATATAGCTTGGAAGGTAGTACTGTTTGGTCTAATTCCCTTCTCCTTCATTAACTCAAATAATTCAAACACGTAATCACTTCTCCTATTGTGATAACATCCCAGCATCAAAGAGTTCCAGAGAACCAAATCCTTTTGAGGCGCTGCGGCAAAAATATCAAGAGCATAGTCAACACAACCACATTTGGAGTACATGTTAACCAATGCTCCATTAATCACAATATCCATCTCATAATCATTTCTAATCATGTATCCATGGATTTGTTTGCCTGGTTTCAGAGCAAAAGTATTTGCACAAGCAGCCAAGAGGGTTCCAAAAGTATACTTACTTGGTATTGTCCCTCCTAACATGTTTGAGAAATTCACCATTGCTGTTTCTCCCATCCTATGGGATTTATAGCTCGTTAATAAAGCATTCCAAGAAACTGCATCCCGCCATTGACTCATTTCATGAAACCATACTCTAGTCCATCTCAAGTACCCACATTTTCCATACATGTCAAGAAGCACATTGGCGACAAACAAATTGGAATGGAGTTCATGTCTATACATGAATCCATGAACCTGTTTCCCCAATCCAATATCTGAAAGGGCAGCAGACACATTGAGGATCAATCCAAGAGTAACATGATCAATGTTCCTGGTCTGTTTGCACATCAGAAAGATAAGCTGTAAAGCTTCATCCCATTCACTATTATGCACATAGCCTGCAAGCATTGCATTCCATGAGATCACGGTCTTTTCTGGCATCTCGTTAAAGAGGTCCCTTGCCTCCCTTGTTTTCCCATCCATTGCATACCCTGACACCATCGAAGTCCAATGAATCAAATCTTTCGAACAGATCAAGTCAAAAATCCTCCGAGCACTTACCAAATCCCCAAATTTCCTATACAAATCAATAAGAGAATTTGAAACCACCTTATCCATCTCAGCATTAATCTTAATAGAAAATCCATGAATTTGAAGCCCTTCTGTGAGCCCACCAATGGTCAAGCAGGCAACAAGAGCATTTGATACAGTAAATGTCAGAGGCACCACATTTGCCCTCACCAACTCTGAAAACAGAGACACGGCATCCTTTCCAACACCCATGTCAAGATACCTTCTGATGATTACGTTCCATGAAACATTATTTGGATTCTCAATTTCATCAAACATCCTCCTAGCATCATCCATCTCCTGGCATTTCCCATACACGTCCACGAGTGAAGTTTCCAGAATTGCATTTCCAGAGAAGCCAAACTTCACAATGAGAGCATGCACTTGTCTCAAAACCCAAACAGTCAAGAGAGAAGCACAGGACACAAGAACACTTGCAAATGTGATCTCATTAGCAGAAACTCCCGACTCACGCATGCACATAAACATTTCCAACGCCCTCTCGGCATACCCATTTTGCGAATAAGCAGTAATCATCGCATTCCAAGACCCGCCATCTCGTTGAGGCAATTCGTCAAACACCTCTTGAGCATCCCTCAAGCAGGCGCATTTTCCGTAAGCTTCTATAGCTCTGTTGAGCAAAAACAGTGGCGGGTTCGGGGAGAAGGTGACCAAGTGGGACTCCACTTTCCGGACCTCGACAGCGGCTTTGTTTGAGGCACAGGTTCTGAAGAGATGAGCGTAGAGAGCGGACGGAAAGGGGAATGGGGCGGCAAAGAGGACGGAGACGGCCTTTCCAAGGCTTCCAGAGCGGAGGTGATTGGTGATTGTGGTGGTTAACGCCTTAACTTCAGCCTGTCGCGGTGGTTCAAGGCGATTAGTGGTAACGATCTTAACGTTGAGAAGGCGGTTCAGGATTGAGGCCTTGTTTGCGCCCATGTAAAATAGAGAAACTAACGCATTTTTGAATTGCAGTTTTATTTATAGTTGCTGGGCGGTGAAACAGATTTTTTTTTTTTTTTTTTTCGGAATATATCTATACTATCCATCAAAACAAAATCTTTCATTTTAACTTCCCGTCCAAAACAATAGTCATATATTATTAAATTCGTAATGGAATATATTGTTTCCTACTTTCCTATTCATACTACAATTCTACATTAAAAAAAATCTACATTAAAATTCCTATTTTAATATAGTAAAATAGTGTAATTTAATTCCTAATAGAATATGTTATTTCCTATTTTCCTATCTGTACTACAATTCTACATTAAAATTCATATTCTGTAAAATAGTGTAATTCAATTCCTAATAGAATATATAGTTTCTTACTCTTTCATTCATACTACAATTCTATATTAAAATTCATATTCGTAAAACACACTTATAGCACACATTCAACTCAAAGTTGAATGTGAGAGAATGTACATGAACCACTATTGAAATCATAGACAACATGGATTTCGAGGGAGATGAATAATTTATTCAAAGTTAAGGTGTAACTACAATGTGACTCAAATTTCAAGGTGGGGGGAGGGGGGAGGAGGGGTTGGAACTAGTAATTTTTTTTTCTCCCTTATAGTGTCAAGATTATTCGCGTTACAATATTATTTGTTTTGTATTAATTTATAATTGTCAATAAACTTATGGTTTAGTTGCACGGAGTGACTCCCCAAATAAGAGGTCATAGATTCAAGTCCTAATAGGATGTTATTAACTCTTTGTGCCTCGATACGTTGAGAAAGTATATATGAACAGATACTACATTAATACATTATAACAGAGTCAACAGTACTAAAACAATTTAAATATTACTATATTTCCAACATCTGTTGTCTAATTATTTTAAAAGTCTTCCCCGTTATGCTTTCTTTCTTTATATACCCACTATCCATGATTTCATCCATTTGTGTGTTGGGTTTGGATTGTTTAAACCATCACTATTTAGAAAAAAAAAGAAAAAAACATAGCCATCCTATGTACGTGACAATGATGAGGACATGGGTCATGGGATGAATTCAAAGGAATCCAAAATAATGCTTCAACCGAATTAGTGTCGCAGAAAGCAACCATTATACTCCTGAATTATTTAATAGGAAAAAAAATTGATTTTTCAAATGTCATTGGCCCAAATAACTTAGAATGTAAATGATAAATATTAATGACTATCCGGGTTAGTGATAGAGTACAGAGTATTAATTAAATGGTTTTTGGTTTAGTAACAACAAACATATATGGCCAGTGATGAGTAAACTCACTGTAACATATCATACTACAATAACATAATCAAATAGAATATCTTAAGTCCGTCTACCTTGTGCGGTTAACCTCTTTCGTGTGATTTATCAACTATTACACAAGAGTAAAATTTATCTCGTACACAACCTCGAATAATAATTACAAGTCATAAATAATATTTCAAATCTCTATAATGATTAGAGTTTACTTTTTGTGCTTTTAAAATTAATAGCATTGTTTCTTCATTAATATCTTGAGCGAAAATCAACAAACATAATGATTATATACAATTCCAAAAGATTTTGATCGACTATTACAATATGCCATAAGAGTGTGAAGATTTATGTAGTAGAGGAAGATTCATCATGTGACTTTTTTAATTTTATATTATTTATAAAATTCTGCTTTTAAAATACATTCATTATTGGATCATTTGTGCACATCTCCCTCCACTAGCTGCGCTCAATTAAACTTGTCCATTAAAAAAAAAAATCTCTTACCTTCAAGACTCTACATTTCCGCCTGACAGAATAATGGAGAAGTCTATTTCGATTAGACTGTTACAATTATATTGTTAGTAAGAAATTCCTTAACATTCATTATATAATAATTGTTAAGTTAGGTTTTTAAAACTAGGTTAAGCTCGTTATTCAAGTTATTAACACTTATAAGTGTGATTTATAAGTTGACCTAAGATATTTGATATTTACTCGAGGTTAAGTACATTGTGATTAAGCTAATGCATCCTAATAGTCTATTATATGTATCCACTTAAGTTAGTCCAATCCACTATCCCATCACATAATTATAGAGAATGATGTAGCACAGGAAAGGCTTCCCTATAATAAAGGTTAAATGGACATAAACCTAAAGTTGATTGCAGAATGATAAAATTAAGAAGCAACGACGCCAATCAATAAACAAACACAAAAAGAAGAGAAAAAGCAAACACTGAAAAAGGGGAAAGTGTGAGTAGAAAAAGTGAATTTGAAAATAAATAATAATACACTGACAAAGTTTCCTTGTGATGAATTGAAACAATAATGGTATCTGCGCCTGCTTGATAACTTGTGCCGACAGTTTGTATGATTGAATATATATTTGGATCTGTATCTAAATTTGAAAAAAAAAAGTCAAATAAGTCCCAAATAAATTAAATTGTGTAATTAAACTCATAATTACAAAACTTTATTGAGATCCCTCGAAGGAGTAAAAAAAAAAAAAGTATAATTGAGTCTTAGTTTTATGTGATACCAATTCAATAATGTAGATATGACGGTGAGTTGATAAAAATTTAGAATATATTAGTGAAAATTTATTTATTTATTTTTAAAGATGGACAAAAACTACCAGTCTCAATCCAGTATATGAAGATAGTGGGGCAAATTATTATGTGGACCATGAATATCAGGTATATTTTTAATATATTAAAAGTACATTATTGTTGTATTGAATGTACATTATATAAAATCATGTATTCTTAGTATATAAAAAATTTACTTTCAAAAAATGTACTTTACGTACATAAATGTATATTAAAAATATACTTTTTATTTATAATTCACGCAATTATGTAGACCATAGTCCATGCAATAATGATTGGGGGTGGGGTGTCAAGCTACCCCTTAACTCAAATAAAACGGGGGGTGACCATGTTTGCCCCTCGTCTCAGATCATACAATATAATGACCCCTCCCTTGAGACAAATACTGCCAATCTTCATTTGGCATTTAGAAAAAAAAAATTGTAGTTTTAATTTTTTTTTAAGAAAAAACTTATACTAATTTTTTTTTTTAAAATTATGTCAAGTCATTGCCACATTGGATGTCAAGTAATTGTCTCATCAGAATAATAGTATATGTCGAAGTTTTTTTTTTTTTTTTTGAAGGTCAATCTTGCGATTGTATTAATGAATCAAAGCCGCAATAGTGTCAGGTGGGATAGCATCCCAGTACATAGCCTGATCCTGAGTAAATGCTAACGTAGCTAAAGTATGCGCATGTAAATTAACCTGCCTAGAAATATAATCCAAAGTAATACGATTAAATAACGACATAAACGTCCTGCACTGGTCAACTGTGACCCCAACGTACGAATGTATCGGCGCATGATGGTGCCTGAATATCGCTGCCAATTCCATGCAATCCGTGAGTAAACTTACTGATGTGGTGTCCCGTTCAAGTAGCCAGGACAAAGCCTCCTTGTATGCCTGAGCCTCCACCATAAGTGGTGAAAAACAAATTGGTAAATTGCCATTCCTTGCTGCCACAAACGAGCCATCTGGAGCTATAATTACCATGCCGTAAGTAGCCTCGCCCGTGTCGTGCCGGAAACCCGCGTCCACATAACATCGTAGACCACCCCCTCCTGGACCATTCATGTGGTCCGTCGCCGGTGTCGGGTTGGTTCGGCCAACATGAGCAGTGCCGTACACCTGCAGTGCTACGGTGGCTGCTCTGACTAACTGGGTAGGCCGCATCATTGATCCCTTCCAGACAGCTGAATTCCGGATTCTCCAAATATAATATAATACTGCTACCATCACCCGGATCTGCTCCTCCGTCAAGACTGCCATAACCCCTTTTAGCCATGTTGTAAACGAGTCTGCAACAATATTAATAATAGGCAATTGTGTTATATTCCAAACAAGTCTAGAATATTCACAGAGCACTAAAGCATGCAACACATCCTCATGTTCTAAACCACACATAGGGCAAGTTGGGTCCACCTCCACCCTTTTAAATATCAAGTTTAGGGTTGTTGGCAAAATATCACATATGGCTCTCCACAAAAAAGTTTTCCATTTCGGGAGGACTTTTATTCTCCACATTGCAATCCACTTATCAAAATTCGCTGGATTATTCTCATAATCTCCCACAATATGCCTATAGGCATTCTTTACTGTATATGTCCCCTTTGGGTCACTCATCCAGTACCATGAGTCCTCATACTCAGGACTAACAGGGATCATATTTATTCGCTCCACATCTTCAGGAATAAATAAATCAGACAAAATATGCGGATCCCAAGTATGAGTCTGTAAATCAATTAGTCCTGCAACTCGCGCCTCTCTCAATTGCTGTGGCATTTCTGTTTGAATCAATGGGCTAGGATTATCTCGTAACCACGGGTGCCCCCATATTAGAGTTGTCTGTCCATTCCCAATCCTCCTTCGCACCCCTGAGACTACCATTGCATGGGCTGCCATTATACTTCTCCAACAATAACTCGGGCAATTACTAATAGTTGCATCTGTAAAACTAGTTGTGGGATAATACCTTGCCTTATATATTTTGGCTACGAGTGTTTCTGGGTGTATTAAAAATCGCCATGCCTGTTTACCTAGCATAGCTATATTAAAAGCCCTTAGCTCTTTAAAACCCATACCACCATACTTTTTTGGTATGCACAACCTGTCCCATGCCTTCCAATGTATTCCCCTTTCTCTTCCACTGCCCCACCAATATTTATTCATAGTTCGCTCAATGGACTGACAAACTGTCTCAGGTAACAAAAAAACACTCATCGAAAAGGTAGGCATCGATTGTGCTACACTTTTCAATAATACTTCCTTACCAGCCTGAGAGAGTAGCTTTTTACTCCACGAACCAATTCGTTGCCTGATTTTTTCCTCCACATACGAAAAAACAGCTCTCTTGTTTCTCCCTACAAAAGATGGCAGGCCCAGATATTTCCCAAAATTGGGTGCTTGCACCACCCCCAGACAACTCGCCACCTGTGCCCTGT